TATTTTCAACGGTACAATTTGTCAGTTCGATATAAAAGCTAACACTAATATATAAAACGAATGTTATTGCCCTCAAAAAAATTAGTAGGCGTATCATTTGGTTCTTATTTTACGAGATCAATCATTGATAATTAATTAATGAGTTCGTTTCAAAAACAAGTGAGACTCTAACATTTTTACGTGGTAATAATTTTTCAACATGAATACAACAACTTGCCTTATGGTGTTAATGAAAATTAAGACAGGGGAGTTTCCGATGGGGTTTCGTGGGTAGTACTGGCTTTTCTAGCCGGTGAGTCCCGTAATCATTTGTTTTTTGCAGGTGGTAAGTATACATATATAAGTGCATTTTCCAAAGTTAAAAAAAGAAAACGGATGGTGGACTCTGGTTTGCTCTCCCTTACTTAAGGGAAGTGCCAAACAAGGTAGAAGTTATAAGGCTTAAAGTTTCACTTAAAGTTTAATATTTTAAGACTATTTATTATATTAAATAAAAATATATTATAAAAGAAAATTAATGTATGAATTATATATTATTTATATGTTATATGTGTTTCTTTATTTGTATAAAGACGATAATATCTGATTGCGCCTGAATATATTCAATCATTATTTTTAGATAAATAGCATTTATTACCATAAATTAATGATTTCAAAATATTACATGTAAGATTTAGTTTTTTTTTTGAAGTTATACTTATTTTGGCACGTTTGGGAAAAATTATAAGAGTAAAATTTTTACGATTCGCGCGCTCACCGACAGCCAAAAAGCGACATGACGAAGTTAGCTGAAAGAGACATGATGAAGTTAGCTGCATTCCTTTTACAAACAGAGCGTTTGACATACGGGATGAAATCTTTAGCTATTTTTGTTGTGTGGCCTTAAGAAGTAGGTACCTATAACTTCTTACGTGCGTAATTGTGTCAGTACATACACACGTGTTTTTTTTAATTATTTTTATTTATTATTACATTCTTATGCCAAAAATCATGAAAATTCAAATAAACTTATTATGGTTTAATTTTTTTCTTTTGTATAAACCTATAAATGATCTATACATATAATTAGTTATAATATTTAGTATAATGTGATCTGTGCATATTATTATAAAATTCTAACTGAGTAGAATTTGTGCATTAAATATTATTTTGGAAAATCTTATTGAAATAGTCATTATTATCTATATACAGACGCCGAATCTATTGTTTTTAAATTTTTTGTCTATCTGACTGTCGAGAAAACCACATTACACATTTTGATTAAATTTGGTATGATGATAGCTGGTTATCTGAATCAACATATGGGATAATTTTTACTGTGGGAATATATCTCATCTCTGAGAAATCTATGCTAAACGTGTAAACGTAAATTAATTAATTACTCGCCTTCAGATATCAATTATTACAGTAAAAAATCATGCAGAAATGACGTCAATTCTCAAGAGTCAATGTATCAAAAACAGCAACTAATTTGATAAGGAATAAATTATAAACCAGGTTGTTATCTTAAATATATGTATATGTATACTGACTTTAATTTAATGCCAAATTAAAATAAAATAAAATTATTAACTATATTTCTTTTTTTAATTTTAATTAAATTATCTTGAAATTTTAAACATATTATAAAATATAACAATTCAAATTAAAAAAATAAAACTTTTAAACCGGAGTTAATAGTAATTAGAATTAATTAATTATTAAAATTGTAAGGTTTTGTTGTCATTAATTCTCTTTTTTTTAATTATTGTATAATTTTGTGGGAACCGTATGTAATAGCTACATAATAAGCCTGAGACGTCTAAGACCTTATTTTGTAGTCTCTCTAGTGACAATGAGGGTTTTAAAACATTCAAAACGTCGGGAACCAAAAATTTAAATAACACCGTTCATATCCGGCGAAATAAACCGAAAAAATAAATTAGTAAAAAAGTTTAAAATATCAAATATCCGCATAAATCTAAAAATGTATTGAATTCTTATAATATATACATAGTTATCTTTATGTTTTATCATTATATTTTTCTAATAGATCGTATTTAATTATAAACTAATTACTGCCAGTGACTTCATTCGCGTGTGTTTAAAATCCTGTTCAATTCGCAACTACTTAAACGAAGTGAGTTTAAACTTTTTATTTGAATTGATTCGAACCAATTGAAATAAAATAGCCCTGTTTTTAAATTACTGTACAATAAAAAAAACTTCTATTTACTATACAATAAAAAAAGTTTCATTAGAATCTGTTCAGCTGTAAATGCCGTTATAACTTTGTGATAGTTACAAATTAATTGAAATATTTTACAATAGAAAAGTTATTTTCAAGTATAGAAAATATTTTTATTATACTATCTGATTTATCTTAAAGAAGTTAATTATATAATTTTATATAATTTATTATATAATAAAAAAAATTGCTGTTATTTCTGCTACAGTATATAAAAAAGTGTTTTATGCAACGTTCCACCTTGATTTACTGGACAGACATCTCTGACTGAGCAAACGTTTGCCTCAAACAGACATCGAACTCGTATCCTAAAACGCACTGCCAACATTATAGGTAGCGTTTCTTTATAATCTATATCAATTATAAGATATGTAAAATGTTATTATAACTCATACAATATGTATGTATATATTAATATAATATTATTGCGTGTTTATAATAAATTTTTTTAATACAAATTCTTTGTTACATAAGCACGAACGTACTACAATTATTTATTACTGTAAGATATTCATATAGTGTTTAAAGGTAACTGAGGCTTCATTTTTTTCTTTCTAGTAATGTAGTATATATATATATATATATATATATATATATATATATATATATATATACTAATATTATAAAGAGGTAAAGTTTGTGATCTTGTGAGTTTGTGACGTTGTAGGGGGTAATCTTTGGATCTACTGAACCGATTTACAAAATTCTTTTACCAATAGAAAGCCACGTTCTTTCTGAGTGTCATAGGCTATATATTAATCCGAATAATGAAAAGGCTTTTTCGTGGTAGTCGGATTTGCAAAGAAAGTCGGAGAAAAAACGGTCGAACGAAAACGTTTTTTACGAACGCTGCCTTAACGATGAGAGATATATGATTATGTTTTAGAGAAAAGTTGTAGAGCTTAATAATGCCTACAAAAAAGTCAGCGACAGCATATGGCTAATTTTTATATTTAAGTCACAAAAAGTAGTTTTTTATCTTAAAAATATAATTTAAATCGGTAGGTCATGTTTATTGGTCATATTATCAACAATTATGAATTCTTATCAAAATAAGTAAATTCATCGTCTAAAATGTTTAAAACAAAAGACTTTTCCCTTTTAGTGCATATAATTTGGACAAATGGTTAAAGAGATAATACAACATATTCGTAGGTATGGACGAACCCGAGCGAGCTGTTTGTCTGTTTTTCTGTTTGTACGGGCTAATCTCCGAATCTATTGGACAGATTTAAATGAAATTTTGCATGGTGGTACCTTATACTCCCGTGCAATATCTTAGATACTTTTAGTCCCGGAAAATTAAAGAGTTCCCGTGGGATAGTTAAAAAACTATAGTAACTTATACAGCTTAGAACACAGCAACTTAGAACCTAATTTCATAAAATTTGCCATGTTGATACCTTATAGTATTGCCAGTCAAACAACAGGTTACTTTTCATCCCGGAAAAATGAACGGTTCCCGTGGGATAGATCTGTTTGTGCTCTTCTAGAGGTGAACCCGAGCGAAGCGAGGGTGAGCCGCTAGTATATATATATTCTAGATACCACTTAAACAAACGTTTGTCTTTTGTAAAAGGCGACACAGTTTGTACGTAAGAGAAAATCTCAAGTGAACCATTCTAGAAATTCTTTCGTAAATAGAAAGCTAGGAAGAGTAACATTTTCAATAACGCATCACGTGAGTGAAGCCACGTATGAAACATAGTCTCTTTACGTTTAATAGTTCAAAAATAAGGTCATCTATACTAAATGTTATTTCTATTACTATATTATTCAAGACCATATCAACCATTTTTATAAATACGAATTGCCTCATCCAAGAATCGATCCCGCGCTATGCATTATATGTTATAACTTTTAATCTATATTGTATATAAATAAAAAAAAATGCCAAACCCAGAAACGGCTGGACTAGTTTTAATTATTCTTTTTTTTTTGTTTTATTGGGATGTGTCAGGGGTGGGTTAAGTATCCCCCCCAACGTGCGTTCACCTTGTCGTGGTGGGGGGGCTCAGTAGTGCCCGGCAACCCAACCGGGCGCGAAGCCAAGAAACGCACATGGAGGTGGCCCACTTCGGTGGGCGGTGGGAGGTGGCCCTCTTCGGAGGGCAGTGTATCATGTGGGTTGCTCCTGGTACTTCTCTGATAGCAGAGTGGACTGTGGAGCAACCCCGTGGTTGTTGTGGTCTGCTTCGGCAGACCTGCCGTCGGGGCGTCGTAGTTGAATGCGTAAGCGATCCTGCGACGCCCCTTTAAGACGGGGGAAGGTTTTGTTGGGTTTTAGTGGGTAGTACTGGCTTTGCCGGTGAGTCCCACACCTCGTGCGTAAATGCATCTCCCAATGTTAAAAAAAAAAAAAGGGGTGGGTTAAGTATAAAATAAAAAAATAGGGAACCAACCCCAAAATAAAAACTAGAAAATCGAAAAGTTAAGAACTGTTTATTTTGTACCTATGTATAATATACATTGTATATATAATATATATGTCAAAACGTACTTAAAGACGAACCCGAGCGAAACCAGGGTGAGTCTCTAGTAAATAAATAGTCTCTAGTAAAAAGAAATTGCTTTGTGTGAACTATGGCGCTCAACTCTCGCATTTCCTTATGCAAAATGTAGCTGATTATTTAGCATATTATGTACCTACTTTACTTATTATCAAACAAGCAATATCTATCTATCCTACTATGTACCTCTTGATACTAATTAGCCCTTAAATTCCATCTTAATTGACTAAATAAATAAAAAGTATTAGAAAACAAATCTACTAAATAGGTTTGAATCTTAACCATATGTCACCATCGATGATCCTCTTAAAATTATAATCGGTGATTTTTAGTTCCCCTTCACATGGTTCTATGTAGAATTTCTTTAGAATTGCTGAAGTTACTCCTCTCAGGATGCGTAAGGCGACTGCTTCGCCTGAAAAAGAAGAATTTATATAAATTTTTAAGTATGATACTGTTTGAAACTTATGGAAAACTAGCATTGCCCACGGCTCCGCCCGCGTTCAGATGAGCAAAAACCAAATTCTTAGGTTTTACATATTAGTATACTTTTACATTGGAGTTTTTGTACTTTTTCTCGGAAATGAAATATTTTCTCGCGGTAAAAAGTATCCTATATGTTGACCCAGATAACCAGCTATCACCATACCAAATTTCATCAAAATCCCTACAGTGGTTTTATGTGATGCGGTAACAGACAGACAGACAGACAGACAAAAAATCTAAAAACTATAGATTCGGCCTCTGCATCGATAATAATGTCTATTTCAATAAGATTTTCCAAAAAATATCTAATGTACAGATTCGGCTTAGTTAGAACTTTATTATATGTATAGATAATTTTATTTAAAAATATATATTTTTTCAGTCGTCAAGTGTCCCAATGCTAGGCAAAGGCCTCTATCTCTCTCTTCTTCCACTCTGCTCTGTTTCTAGCAATGACCTGCCAGTCTTAAGTAAAGTCATCCAGGTCGCCCTTCCAAAATAATATTATGTGGAACAAAAAAATCTTAAACATGCTAATTTACAAAAAACACCAATTAAATATATGTAACTTTAATACAGGTTGTTAGTTTTTACAGATTAACTTTGTAATAACACGAAAGTGTTTTTATTGTTAAGCCCCATCCTGACTTAGCGGTACGGTATCGGTGCAGTAAAGTACGCTCGGTAAAATTTTTACCGATTCCTTACCGCGTTTCTATATCACTTATATGTGAATGCACGCTTTCTGATAGGCGCGGGTTGCGCGGGAGTACTACGGGGTGCGTAGGACTGTAAGCGTACGGCATACTGTATCGAGTGTAAAAGTCCAAGATTTTTTCAACTTTCTGCAAGATTCAATTGTTTTACACCTAAAGCATACCGACAGTATACCAATAATTGAGGAGATCTAGCCGACATCGTAAGCTCTCGGTAACGTACAAAATACCGCACCTCTACGTCAGGAAGGGGCCTTAATGTTAGTTTTTTGACCTTCGTTGACGTAATGAGAACTGAACTGTATCTTTTTTTGCATAGATGATAGATGGTTAATCGGTTGGAAAGTAACATGGACAAATTTTTAGACCGATAAAATATTAATCAATATTTTATATCTCACGTTGTTACTCTTTTAGGACATGTCACTAGTTAATTAATAATCTTACTTTATATGAAAAGAAATATATATGTAAGACTAATAAAATGTCGCCACAGACTAAAACAACCAGATAGACGAATTCGAAAAAGTTAGTTGTTATCTAAAATCTGAAGTTCAAGTGGGATTATAATTTCGCAGTAATAAAATGTAATTAGCAAAATGAGTAACCCAGTTCCACTATAAAAAAATTTAACTTTGTATAATAAAAAATATTAAAAATAGTTACATAGAGTAAAAATACGTAATCCCATAAATACATATTAATATGATGAAATATCATTGAAATTGCTTTACAGATTCTTGAATTGGTTTATTTGAAAAGCTGACAAATGCACAATTAGTATTTTTAATACAAGTTTAATAGAAGACAAGTTTGGCTCAGTTTGTAGTGATCCTACTTGCTGTGCCAGCGGTAGCGGGTTCGAGTCCCGCTGTAGGCATTCATTTGTGTGATAAGCTCGAATGTTTGTACTCCAGTCATGGGTGCTTATAATTATAATATGTATGTATTTAAAGTTATATATGTGTAGTGTATCAACTATCTGATATCCATAACACAAGCCTCGTAACTTACCATGAAACTGGATGGTGCTGTGTTTTAATTATCCCAACATATTTAATGTTTTATTACTGATACACTTTCTCTTTGTATAATAGATACCTTAATCGTTGAATTATTATAGTGCACTATGTTGTAAGTAAGGCGAGGTCGTTTAACAGTTTTTTGTACGTATAAATAAAGTGGAATGCCCGTGATTTCTACATTAATAATTTTTCCAAAGACAAAATACGTATTCACAAAATATATAATTAACAATGTAAATATCTGAAGCGGAATGAAAGTAATCTATACATACATATAATAAAATTCTTACTGAGTCGAATCTGTACATTAAGTATTTTTTGGAAAATCTTATTGAAATAGTCATTATTATCTATATAGACGCCCAATCTATAGTTTTTGAATGTTTGTCTGTCTGTCTGTCTGTCTCTGTCTGGTAACGTATTACGAGAAAACCACTGTAAAGATTTTGATGAAATTTAGTATGATGATAGCTGGTTATACGGGTCAATATATAGGATACCTTTTACTGCGAGAAAATATTTCATTTCTGAGAAATCTATACTAAACGGCAATAAAAATGCCTGACCACTTACACGAATATTTTTTTCTTAGATTTACACAAATATCTTACTTTTTATATAAAATTATGAGGTTATTTCCGCTATTATAGCAAAAAGTAGTTTTATTTGAATTGGGTAATTATAAAGATTTTACAATAAATATAAGATTAACTACAAAAATCTATTTGTTAAGTTCATTCGACGACATGCTTCTACTTTGCTACTTAATAATGGCTCTATCGGTTACAAATCTTGAATGGTCATTGGTTTATTGTAATATTATAGAATCTCATGCTTTTTATAGTTGAAAGCCTATTATTTAATACACGTTTAAGATATTGTTTCAATGAAATATTGAATGAATAAATTGTGAATAAAAACGTGTGGATCCAATATATTTTTTAATTGTTTGGTTAATCAAGTAAATAAGTATTATTTCTCTGATCATTTGCTCACAAGCTGTGTAATAATAAGTAAATATGATAAAAATGAATAAATAAAATATTGTAGATAATATACTTATATACAACATTGTGTTCCTTTTTATTATTTTTTTAATTTTCCCGTAGAATTACTCACGATTGACAATGATATATTACAAACAGGACTGCTTTCTGAATTTTGTAATTTTTCAGCATGTTATTAATTTACAAAAGCTTTTAAAAATTTAATTTAAAATGAATGATTCACGCTTCATTTTGAAAATTACTGTTTGTATACGAACAAGGCCATGAAGCCTCATTTATTAGCATCATTGTGTTAAATAAAATTTATATGCTTGCTAATCTTGTGGCTAGGTCATAAATTCCATTGCCCAAATCCCGGGCTAGGCCCAATGAGTCAAGACATTCTGAGTAGTTAGGAAGTTGGTGGTGTTGTACTACACCTCTGTGCCTTCATACAGTCCGTTTAGCCTCTGTGACCAAAAATATGTATGTTTATTATTATTGTTATTTATGTATTCCAAAAATCTAAATAATCCTAGGAAATTGTTGATTGAATGACATAATGAAATAAGATTTCATATTACGATTTTTATAAGTATACCTATGTACCTATATGTGAGTATCCTCTCAAAAGTTAATTTTAAAAAATCCTATCTATACTAATATTATAAATGTGAAAGTTTGTAAGTGTGGATGTTTGTTACTCTTTCACGTGACAATGGCTGAACAGATCTGGATTTTTAGCACAGAGATAGATTATAGTCTGGAATAGCACATACTTTTTATCCAGGAAAAATGTACGGTTCCCGTGGGATAGAGTTGTTTTGTCTACCGCTAGTAATAAGTCAATCGATAATATGTTATAATACTTAATTATTACTACTAAAGTAGATGAATAATAAAATTATATATATCCTAACTTTTACCAATAATAATATTTTGTCAGCACGATTGAGTAGTAGCCCCATTAAGGACATATATCAAACCCCTAATAAATAAAGTGGATGATAATACGAGTAACATAAATACTACTAATTAACAAGTATATTATATTTATATAAGTCGTGCTAAAAACATAAATGAATATTAAACATAAAATATTGTGTGTTGTGTTGCTTAATGATAATATCTTCAGAAAACGCCATTTTATGTTTATAATTCATTTACGTTTTTAGCACGACTTGATTATAAATAAATAATGGAATATGAAATGTGTTTCAGTATTCACCTTTCAAGTTTCACTTAGCAAGAGCTGTTTAAATAACTAAGTACTTACCAATACATTTTCTAGGACCAGCTCCAAAAGGCAAGTATGTATTTGATATATTATCATCATCCAAAAATCTACTAGGGTTAAATAAATTTGCCTCTTTGAAATTCGCTTCATCCTTATGCATAGCTTCGATTGGTATTGTGACTGTTAAATTTTTATCTATCACTAGATCTTTTTTAGGAAATTGATACATTTTGACACATTTTCTCGTAATTACTGAATATGGAGGATACATTCTTAGAGCTTCCTTAATAGTATTACTCAAATAGTCTTCTTCAGAAGAAGATCCAACACATTTTCTTGCTTTCTCCTGAATTTCGGGATTTCTAGCTAGTTCATATAATAGTGCAGTTAATACATAAAGGCAAGGCATGTACCCTTGTTCAATGAAAAGGCTTAAATAAGAATTAATCGTGCTATAATTTGATTCTCCTTTTATGTTTTTATTATTAGCATCGTCTTCGAACATCAATTCTGTTTTTTTAATTTCTTTCTTTAATTTAGATTCTTTCAGGACCTGAACAAATTTACCAAAGAAATGCTCGGGTACGGTGCTTAATCCAAACAATACATAGACCGAAGGAAATATATCCTTCAAATAGCTCTTAAGCTTATCAAACAAGGTTCGCTTTTGCATCGCCTCCCTTAAACTCCTAATAACTGTACCATCTAAATTATTATCGATAAGTAAATTCTTAAACACAGCATCCAATATATCCGAGAGTAATTGTTGAACTTTCGTATCTCCATTGGTTCCTGACAAACAGTCATGCAAACTGTCTTGAAATTCAGAGTCAATATTATTCAATAGTAACTCGAGTTTTCTACGTAATAGAGTCCACTTTTCGCCTTCAGAGTAAAATAAATTGTTTCGTATACAAACATCCCGAGATAGGTCCAAGCCAGTGCCTCGGCAATGAAAATTTGCAAAATCTGTCGACAGAATCCTCTTTATCGAATCCGCGTCTTTTACTATCAAGTCAGGTATTCTGCTTTTGATGCAGCCGACATATTTTTCATTATATGTAGTGTATAACTTACTGACTTCATCCGAAGTGTTACGAATTCCCAAAACTCGATGGTAATCACTGCCAAAGAAAGGAATGGATATTTTGTAAGGTACATGTCTAATGTACCAATAACTGAAATATTTGGTTACATAGTCAAAAATTAGTGCAACGATTAAAACACATATAACCGATATATTTAAGATAATATTCTCGAAAAACATCGCGTTCGGGCGAGATGGTTTTGCGGCTTACACTGAGACCGTCTACGCTGTTAGTGGGTCGCGGTAACGGTGCACTCACTGTGTACGTATAAGCCACGCACCTTCACTTAGGTATGCTCAACAGATATTATAAATGATCGACAACGAGCTTACGTTTTTTCTACTTTAATCTAATATTGAATCAAATTATCACTTAACTTTGATTCTTGCCATGAAATATAAAATATACCTTGTAAAAATAAATTTTAAAAGGCAATTTTTATTTTTTTAATTATGTTTATAGCTTTAGAATAACTCATAACTCAGCAATTATTGATTTAAGAAAATAAAAACTTAAAAAAAAATCGACTTCCAGGCACTAAAATGTAAAAAATAACTGAACGGGGTTTTTTATTTAGAATAGAGACCTAATCAGATATTTTTGAAATTATACTGAAACAAAAAAAGTCCAAATCGGTTCAGGCGTCTTCGGGTAATCGGTGAACATATGTACATAAAAAAAGAAGATTCCGACGAATTGAGAACCTCCTCCTTTTGGAAGTCGGTTAAAAAATATATTTACAAATATCGATCTCATTTTCAAAGTTTTATTTAAAAATACCCCACACGCGCTTTTTTTACTTCTCATTTACTTAAAAATATATCTACCTCCTTTTCAGCTCTATCGTGACGATAATCACCGAATTTATGGTGTTAATAATAGTCAAATAAAAACAGATTGACGAATGGACATGAAAAAATTATAAAAGTTTTTAAAAATTAAAAAAAAAAAACCTTGAAGATGTGACTTTGGGCTACATTTAAAAAAATATTGATTACGTTACTCGTAGTTAAATAGGAGGTTTTAGTGTCAAATTAATTATGAAATATAAATATTATTGAAGTTATTATAATAATTAATATAAATACATTTTTAAAATTTCGATGTATAATAAAATAAATTTTTTTTTTAGTTTTATAATTTTTTGTGTAAGAACATAAAAAAAGATATTTTAAAGCACTTTGTGCTTACTTTTTATTAATGACCGGACAGAGTTTTTTAAAAGTTATACCCGTTTCAGCGCCATCTCACGCACATTTCCAAAACTAACTTAATGTAACGTAGCTCTATATTATTTAACTAGATAGCGCGTATAGCAAAATTATTTTCTTACATTTTGTTTTTAAAATATATTACTATTAAATGTACTTTTCAATATATACGAGCACTTAATTTTTAACTAATGCTTAAACTCAAAACTTAATTTAAAATTATTTAAGTTTTTAGTTGTTTCGAGTAATGTTTGACTAATAAACTTGTGTGGCCAAAGCAATAAATCAAAAGACATTTATTTTGCTATGCCTAAGAATACATAATCCGGCCAAATCCGGAATTATCACGAATAGCCAAAACTACTCACAGGAGTCTAGGGCCCGATTTTGATGAAATCTAAAACTGCAACATTGGATTTTTGAAAAATTAATTTTCCTAGCTAGAAATCGAACCTGTTGATTTTGAAAAAAAACACAAACACTGTATTATTACACCATTCGATAGTGTCACTAATAAGGAACGAATTCTGGAAAGCAATGACATAATTCGTTGGCTTACTATTACAAGGTTCTATGTTAATTTTAATGAAGTTTAGTAATTTTTACATAGAACTTCGTTATTTTGTTATCGTAAAAAAAACAACATAGAACTATGTAAAATTGAATATTTTGTAGTTATAGTGCCCCTATCGAGTAGTTTGTTTTTGCAAAACTGTAGCTAATGACACATAGAACCTGTAGCATTAATAACTAAATAAGTACTAATATTGTAACATAGAACCTTGTAATAGTGAGCCAACGATTATTATGGCAAATTTAATTAAGGAAAGAGCTCATTTTTAACAAATTTTTTTTGTTTACTTATAGTAAGTATGTTTCTAAGAACAACGGCATTTTCTATTGTACCTAGTGTAATATTATGTCATATCTTAATATGTTCATTTGTGATTATTGTTATTGTTCATATTATAAATTCTGTGAAAGTTTGTGAGTGTATGCATTTGTAACATTTTCTCGCTATCACGGTCCAATAAATTTGAGGCTCATATATGCTTATTTTCTTTGATTATATACATATAATCAAAGCTTATTTTATTATCAATTAACGGCTCGCCTCTCGGCTTCGCCTCTCGGCTTCGCCTCTAGTAAAACAAAAACAAATCTGTCTCACGGGAACCGTATATTTTTCTCGGATAAAAAGTAGCCTATGTATTATTCTGTTGTATGAGCTATATTATTGTAAAGTTTCATTAAAATCCATTCAGTAGTTTTTGCGTGAAAGAGTAACAAACATCCATACATCTATAAGTCCAGACATTAATACATCCTCACAAACTTTCGCATTTATAATAGTAGGAATTATCTATCATACGCGAGTCAAGGGTTAATCTGGTACAACATTGTTTATTAATATTTTACAGCTCTATCTATTGACAAACTATTACAATAGATGGTTGGAACTACTCTTTACGATGTTTTATAACTTAGTTTATTAAAAATAAACTAGGTGGCGCTACTTCATATATGTGTACTGTCATTTTAAATTAAATGTTAGACAATAGATGGCGCTTCAAATGTTAAGGATTAGATTTTCTATAAAAATTCCAAGAAAGCCTCGTTTTATATCATAAAGTTATTTTTTTTATATATATAAAACTTTATTGTACCAATCATATTTTTAGAACAATAAAATAAAATATCATAACATGCAAAAGTTATTAATAGTAATAATGTAAGTCATATACTTACTATTCTTTATTGCACTTAAAAAATCAATACAGTAATTAAAAAATAGTTGATGTTTACAAAGGACTTATCTCTAGAAGAGATCTCTTCCAGCCAACCTATGGTAGTGAGAAATAGTGTTACGAAGCGAAGCGAGGCTTATTAGAATGGTAAGTAGTAAGTAAATAATTATTAAATCGAAACCTCCACCTACATAAATAATAATAAATATTTTTATACATTGTACATACATAGTAACTTATTAAATTAATGATATTTTTACTTTTTAGTACACAGTACTTTTTAGTTACAGTACTTTTTTTACAGTACTTTTTAGTACAGTAAATTATACATTTTTTACAAAAATAGGTACTTTGTTCAAACCAACTTCAAAAAAGACGGAATTTAATTTAAATTTCTTTATGTCCTCTTTTTGTAGGTCCTACTGCTACATAAAAGGGCGCGTTCGAAGTTACGTAAAGAATGTACGAGAAGACTGTGATCGTAAAAGGGAAAAATAAAGCGGTAGAATATAGTGCTCAAAAGTGCCATTCCGTAAGAAATTTATTATAACTCGATAGCTCACATATTACATAAAATACTTACAGAATAAATTATTAAAAACGTTGGGACATTAACACACATCACCATCTACGAGTAGTTCCATGGTAAGCTACGAGGCTTGTGTTATAGATACCAGATAGTTGATTCACTGCACATTATGTATAACGACGGTAATATGCATAGCATTACCGTGATATAACTTTAAATATATAAATTATTATAAATATTATATGAATAGTTCTGCAGATACTAAACTAAGCCGTTACAGCGCGTGTACAACGAGTGTCTCATGTTGATGTTCTCCCGGCCGATTCCGGCCACGGCGGCCAATCTCATTGAGACTAGCCAACTGCGCAGGAGATATTATAGTGCACAAGTGTACGCGCAGACACAACGTGCACTCTCTATTCCTGTCACTCTCATACTCCGGTGGGATGACCACTCGACACGACCGGTGAGAGTTAATAAGGCGCAGGACCGACGGCTTCACATGCTCTCCGAGGCACGGGGGTGAAACACCGCCAACTTCCCAACTCTGGGCTTTTACTGAGACTTACTATACAGAAAGACTCAATAACTAAACTTGGCCCGACCCGGGACACGAACCCAGGACCTCCAAGTGTGCAGCCGTACATGCTAGCCACTACACCACCACACCACCGAGGCAGTTTAACGAGTGTCTCATATTACATACATAATTCACTTATAGCAGTTCACGCTTAAAGCAATAAAACATCTAAATCAAGGGTCAAAGTGGCCAAGCCTTAAATTTCAAAGCCCTAAACCCTAGATCGTAACAGTAGGTAATATAATATGGAATGCTTATACCGGCCTCCGGCATGACTCCGCGGGATAATATTCCATAGCTTCTGGATTACAGATTAATAAGTCACTACAATACGCATCTTGAGTATTGGCCAGTTAAAAAACTTTATCAAAAAAATCATTATTTGGTGATAGTAGTAGAAAGTTCTTATTTAAATTCTAAATTATGGACTTACAAGAAAATTATATACAAGAAGTGGAAATTTTAATGTTAAAATGCCTTTGATTTTGTTCAAACATGGAACACGTAGGTACACAATTATTAGATATTTATTTATATTAATTACTTAGAGAAAAAACATGTTATATACAATTAAAAAAAAATATAACAATCTTCCTAGCTTTGCTCGGGTGCGTAACTAGGTGACTAACAGTACAGTAGTATATTATCGATACAGTACAGTCATTATAATCGATACAGAAACCGAATCTATAGTTTTTAGAATTTTTGTCTGTATGTCTGTCTGTTTATGACCGCATCACGGAAGAATCACTGGAAGGATTTTGATGAAATTTGGTATTATGATAGCTGGTTATCCGGATCAACATATGGGATACTTTTTACTGCGGGAAAATATCTCATATCTGAGAAATCTATACTAAACGTATAATATTCCTATAATATTTAAAGAAATCCAATAAATAAAACGATGAAATTAACTTTACATCAATTTTGTAAAATCGAATAGTTATGCACACTAACTATCCAATTCATACGACGCGACGCTAAGAATCTCATAGCATCTGATTAATACATCGTTCACCGAACCTTGTTCAGTAACTACTGGGCATGCGACACCATAATGTTTTCTATAAATATTGTGAGAGGGCATTTGTAGATCCCATTCGGGATA